AAAAGTTTATAAAATATAGTTAATAAATATTTCAAATAAATATTTTTAAATTATTTAAAAAAAAAATATTTTTGAAATATTGTGTGCCTAAAACACTAAAATTTATTAACTAAAAGAAAACAAGCCCTTTCAAGGTTTTGAGGGAGGAACAAGAAGTTTATAGACTGTCAGTGAAGCATAAACTTGAGATGTAAATACTTGAAGACTAGTCTAGGTGTATAAAATTTCAAACGTCTGAAGTGGTTAATTTGATATTCAAAATTAGATCGCCAAGTGAAAATTATTTCTAAAATAATAAACCAATAATCAAAAATTCGCGAAATCAGCTGTCTGGTAATATTGGTTGAAAATTAGATTATATTTTAAAGAATTAAAAAGAATAACGATTGACAAAGGATATAAATGAAATTGTATTGTATGTACTCTTTTATTCTAGTTTCTAATCAACGACAACTTTGGTCGAAATAGTTTCCTCCACAAGAAGAAAAATGTATCTTTGTTTTTTTCGTTTTTTTTTTTTTATTTTAAGGTTTTCTACAAAACTTGCACCTGAAAGCGACCAGTAACGTGATCTGCATAATTATCATTCAAAAACTTTTGACTCAAAAGCTGGCGATTAATTTAAATGTAGAGAAAATGTACAAAAGGTTGAAAAGAATACTCACGAAATTCAAAAATGATGGCTTTATTTTTAGAAAAATAGCGTCGTTGTGGAATACAAAGCTTTTGCTTCGCGATAAGGTGCATTGTATTTTTGAATAGAAATACCTAATTTTAAGTAGAAAAAGAGAACGATGCGGTTTATTTATCATAAAAAAAACAATACAGGAGAGTGCTGATTAATCCAAATTTACAACTTTAAAAAAATATAATAAGTGCAAAGTGATTTTTTATGAAGAGTTTGTTTTTAACCTAAATATTTTACATTGTTTTTAAAAGATTAATATCAGTATAAATTTATTCATAATGATAATAATAATTAATAATAGCAATAATCTTTATAATATAAAAGTAGTAACTAAAGTAAAAATAATATAAGTACTATTGGACACTTTTTACAAATGAAGAATATATGGTGTCAGTAATTATAAAACTGTTGAATGTGGTGTACCTCAGGGCACTGTATTAGGTCCAATCCTTTTTATATTTATGTTAAATCACTAATAAACTAAAAAGAGTTATCTGTGATACTATTCTCTATAATTTTTGTCATAAATTTCTCTAAAATGGGACCATAATGGCGAGTCTGGTATTAATGTAGAGAAAAATTAGCACTTTTTTACTTTATTTAAACCATAAGTGACACATAGGTTAAGATAAAGTTGTCTCAAATCAAATATTTTTGTTGCAGCATACAGCATATCGTTTACTTGAATACCTAGATGGTGTGGAATATATAATTTTATAACGAACTGAGCTAAGCTCTGCTATTTACTGCGCATGTCACTTTTAGCTTATTGATAAAATATCTGTATAAAATGGTCTGAAGTTTTTTAATTAATTTAAAAAGTAATACACAAAAAATGTTTCTAATGCAGGTGACCGCAAAAATCAGAGTTACGTATTATATCCGTGATAACTACGCACGGCTCTGAATAAAATCAAACTGTACATAAAAAGTAGAGTAATTGTACGCTCCAACATAAATATTTTTAAGGCCTACTTCAGAAAAACAATTTGTAGACCACTCCATATTATAAATTCGAGTCAATAATCAAACTTAAGTATTTTATTTCTTTTTCAGGTAAGAAATCAGAAAATGGTGTCCATATTATAAGTAAGTAGTTTATATTTTTACCGAATCTGAGGTTTTTTAACAAAATTTCGTGATTCATTATTAAAAAAAAAAATTTATAAACCTCACTATTATGAAATTAAAGTAAATAAAATTTCCTACAAATTTCACAATTTAGGTTTTTTTATCGACGATCCAGTGGGCTTAAACGTCAGTAAAAAATTGGCGTATTTGGCAAAAAACCACTATTTCAACACCAAAACTCATTTAGTAAATTCCTCCCGGGTTTTTTTGCACATACCTTATTTAGATCGTATATTTAAAGGTAAAGGTCATTTTTTCAAAAATTTCATACTGTTCAAATTTGAAGTCCAAAAAATTCAGTAAAAAAAATAATACTCACTGAAACTAAAATCACTAAATGTAAGTAAATAGTTAATTAAGAGTTGGTCGTATAAAAACTAATCAAACTAACAATAGGTTACTAATTTCAGATATCTTGTTTTACCTTCCATAACTAAACATTTTACTTATCTTATATAGTCATATAGTATATAACTTTTTATTTGCTATAAGGAAAATTTCGCTTTTCCCATTTACGACCCTTAATCCATTTTATACCCACTTTAAACCCTAGACGGTTCGAATACACGCAAATTCCCGATTTAATATGCAGAAAAGGTCGTTGTCGTGCAAAGGAAGAAGCCATTTGTTGTGGAAATAGAGATCGGAAGACGTAAATTAGAAACTTGCGGTCAATAATAGCTACCGCTATCGGTCAGACGCCGCTACCGCCTCGTTGAACTATTTTTAAGTAATTATTAATGATATAAGGTCGTAAACGATATTAGTTTTTTCTTATTTTAAAAAATACGTACAATATAGTTGGATCAAGAAATTATAGGTAGTAGAAGGAATATCAGAAATATAAAAAGAATGCTGATAGAGTTAGCATATGCAATATACAATAGTTCAGATTGAAAACGTTGTATTTTGTAATATCGAAATTGCTGGCACTATCCCACATCTGGGCTCTATGAGTGCATATTAATTTATATAACAGGACTATTTAGATACCTCAACATTTTGCTCAATATTTATCGCCTTATTTCAAAATTAGCAAAGTGATTACGTCACCTTCTCTTCTGCAAAACTACTACCTTTAGAAACCAATAGAAAATCACATGTGATATTTGAATCGTCGTAATGAACAAATTATTGATCAAACTATGAAAGACTGGGATGCTGACGCTCGCCTCCATCTTGATTTCACGTATTAGATTAGATTTAATCAAGACTGTGCGCAATGTGGCCTCTTCCACCTTGACCTTTAATCGTTGTTTAGATTACCTTGTCTAATTCGATGTTTGGCAGTAGACTCAATAGACTAGGAAGTAATTTTCCGGCGGAGCTAGTTGCTCTTGGTTTTTCTTCTCCAAGTGGAAGGTATCTCAGTCTTGATAGACCTTCGCAGTAGCACAATACGTCTTCTGCAGTTTCCTCCCTTTCCTGACAGAATCGGCTTACAATTCCCTGTGAATAGTGTTCTATTATGGCTTAGTAGGTGCTTGATGAGTTGAGGCGATGGTCCGTTTAAGCACTCTTAAGCCCGTCTCTGTCTTGGTGAATTTTTTCTCAATTACTGAAATTTTTTAAACATTCACTGCTTTGTGCATGTTCTGATAGGTGTATTTGTGACAACACAGAAGGGTTCTGGGACAATAGGAGTCTTTGAGGCTCCTTCTCGGGCTAATAGATCAGCCTGTTTGTTGCCATTATGTCCTTTGTGACCTACCCAGGCTAAAGTCTGTTTTGACTACCCAGCTCTGTTAAGGGCTTTTAAACAACCTCACACAAGCTTTGAGTGCACCTGCATAGAACTCAGTGCTTTCTTGACTGTCTGAATATATTATGACAATGATTTTTTCATTTACCTTATGTCTTAATTCATCTAAAGCACATACTTTGATTTAAAGTATGTGATCTAAAGTGATATGTGATTAGTTTTCTAACAAGAATTAAAATATGTCAGTAATGAATAAGTTGTAATGTTGTTAAAGTTTTTTTGTATAACTTTGTCAATAAAGTAATAATTGGTAACAAGTGAATTTAAATTTCACAAGTTGCATCGAAAGATTAATCTTTTACTTACAGTCCACATCGAAAAAATTGATCTAATTTATTAATGGCCGATTCAGCATTCAGATTTCTATGTCACGCTCTCACAAGAACTTTATATTTTGTATTGACAGGTGGAATTTCTTGCCCAAGAACTAGTATATTTTTCTATAAGTAATTCTGAGTTAAAGACGTTTGCTCCAGATATGTTCTTCCAATTAAGTTGCCTGATAACCCAAGTACTTTACGTAGTCTTTTTGATGTAAGAGTAGAAGTAACTTGATTGAATTTAGTAATGTTTACATTTGTTTAACTTAAGGTTCTGATGAGAAGCAATTACTACTTTATCATCAGCAAAAAGTTCTTTGTAAATAGGATATACTAAGTTGGTCCTTAAACACTCCTTTGAGGCACTACAGCTGTGATAGGGAACAAAGAAGTAATCGCATCTCCATTTGTCACAAAGGTTTTAAAAAGTTTGTAGAATGGCTTAAATAAGTTTGACTTTATTTTGCTAATTAAATCTTTATGGTATACATCATGTATACATCATCTGGGAAACGTCTAGAAAAAGGTCTATGTTAATATCAAAAACCAATTTCATGAATGATTTGCATTCTTGGATGATTGGTTTTAAACGTTCCAATGAAAGTTTCTCGTATACCTTTGAAAGTATAGACTAATAGGATGATAGGAAGTGATTTCTGATGGATTTTTACCTGATTTTTGAATAAGTATAATCTGTGAAACCTTCCATTTAATTGGGAAGTGACCAAGTCATATAACAGAACAGCATTTAACAATATGGTAATTATCCGAAACACTTCATATGGTCATTCGGTCCCAACCTATTAATTTTATGGTAGATTTATTTTTAATACCTGTTTTTCTGTTCTTGGAGTGTTTGTTTCAGTTGTCTTGTAGCATGATTTAGTATGGTCTTTGCCATTTTTTCCTTCATCATTGTTTTTCATCTTTTTAAAATAAATCTAGGGAAAGAATTCATTTTTCTGATTTTAATATGGAGGGGATTTGCGCATGAGTAATAAATTCCATAGGTCAATTGAAAACTAGCAAAGACAAGACAATTTGCATAGTGTGAGATATTCTGGATAACTGCCATGTAAACGTCAGCAATTTAAAGTACTGACTTCACACATACATTCTGACAACCCGTCATTTCATTCAAAAAATTTGATTCATCAAAATTAAAAAATAATCAAAATGTGTGATTGTCCCCATATTCCCGGTAACTATTGTTGCTTCAAAAATCCATTCAAACCAGTAACTCATGTCATATTTGATCTGGATGGAACTCTTCTAGGTAAGTGGTAGGGTACTCATAAAATATGATGTTGATATATTCAATATATTGTTACTAGAAATGATTTATTTGATTTAATATATACAATTTTTAAGAAATGCGTCTTAAATTTATGAAATATATTTTAGACACCGAAGAAATTGACAGAGAAGTATTTTTAGAACTTTGCAAGGAGTTTGGTAAAAAGTATACCGAAGACATGCACGAACTAGTGTTAGGAACAAATGAATCTGCTGCGTGCGCAACAATCGTAAAACATTTGAAGCTTGACATCGATCCAAAAGAGTTTCAGAAAAAATTTCAGGAGAAAAATTATAAGTTGGTTCCCGATGCTCAATTTATGTGTGGTAAAGAGATTTTCCTTTTTTTCATATTTTTCTAAAAAGTTTCCTTCTCTTATCTCTTAAAGGCCTATCAGGGATGGATTTTGTCAGCTGCATGTTTCCTATATTAGAAAATATCCTTAAACTATTGCAAAAGAAGTTTTAGGTAAGGTATCCCAAAATTAATCAATTGTAAAAAAGTTAACTATTACCATTCAGCTGAGAGTTTATTATCTATTGTTTTATATTTATAGTCAGTGCCATGCATATACCCTTTCCTTGTTTGATATAAAACATTCTGACGCGATTGGTATTTAGATTCACCCTGTACGAACTCTATTCAACCGATTTATGTACTTAATTACCGCAACCTTCGACACTGCTTCATCAACGAAGTTATACTTTCTAAACGCCCAAAGGGCATGCGGCGTCCAATTTTGAAATTTACATTAAGGATTGATTAGTCACATATGGCGTAGCAATGTCCAAACTATAATAAAGTCAGAGGTCAAACTATCCCTAATTCAGTTGGCTCAGATAGTAGCGTAGCATTATCCTCTGTGACTGGGATCTTTTTAATCAAGGATTTAATTTGCAGCTTGTCCGTTCCGGAATATGTATGTGGTGGACATATATTATTTTTCATCTCATGCGTGACAAAATATATGTAGTGAATAGATACGAATTTAATCTTATTTACATAAAAACAGTCAATAGAGGTCTCCAGTTTTCTATAAAAAACATTAATTTATCGGTTTCATTATGGATTTAGAAGCAAACTGGTATGAAAGTAAGAAAGTAAAGGGGCTAGGAGAGTTTTAGCACAATCCTTATGTAAATTAACATGGAAAATCGCTAAGGTTCATTCTGCCAATTTTTTTCAATATCAGGATCGCTCGTCTTGACGTCACGTGTCATGACATCACCAGCCAACTGCTGTCAACTTGACCCAACCTAACCAGTACTGATCCCGAACTGATCTGGTACTGTTTCCGAACTGATACGGAACTGATCCAGAACTAATCTGGATCAGTTCTCGATCAGTTCCGTATCAGTTCTGGATCAGTTTGGAAACAGTACCAAATCAATTCCAAATATTATCCATATCTCAAAGTGGTCCGAAGTAGATTAAAGGGAAGTAAAAAGGTCAAAGTCTGTCGACCACATAAATTTATTAGGTTGCAAGCGCTTTCGACCTAAAAGGTCATCATCAGTGTAAGTGAGTAGGTACAATCACTATGTGTACACAGAAAAATAAGTATGTTGAATTAAAATTTAAGTAAATTGTAAAAATTGGCACAGACTGCCTCCCAACCCCCTTATGATTGAATTTCAACCCCCGAAGTCGACTGGGCGACTTGTGTAAAGGAAGGGACTGTTATTATTAATATTTTCCGTGACGCTCCGGGGCGACTTAAAGATGATTGATGGTGCTATTTAAATTACAGATGGTGAAAACCGAGAAAACGTCACCTAAATTGTGATTGCTTAAATTAGAACTGTTTATGTATTCAAAAAATTATGTTTGATCGTTAAAAATTAAGTGTTTAAGTGAATTAATTTTATGTGATTTAACATCTGCTATCGAAATCTGGTTTAAATTTTAAATGAGTTGTTAACATGTAGATATATTAGATATTAAAAAACTATTTAAATTTTTATTTTTGACTCGTCCGGTCCTGCTTCAATCCCTCAAGTCGCTCTCTGCCTTATTTGGGCCTCTTGCGGTCTCAACTTTTCCGACTAATAAGAAATCCTCCCAAGGGACGATTATAGCTATTTATTCATCAATCGTTGTGTTTCGTTGAAGCTCAATTATTAGGTCTGAGGCCTTCAGTGATATCTAAATTGTAAAGTGTTGCTAAAATGTTTTGTAAATGTAAGTTTATGTAAAAAGTTTATCTACTGGACTACTATAGTCTAATTGTAGTAAATAATTAAAATTGTTAATAAATACTTTTAGGCTTTTCCTAACAAATTTTGTTTTAGTCAATTAATCTGAGATCATCATACAAAATACCCACCTCTACACTTAGCTTGCAATCATGATTTAAATAACCTTTATTACAGTAGGTAACTGTATCGTATGCCATAATTGAATTAGTATTATACTTCAGTACGATAAACACGCAACCCTGTTTCGAAAATCTTGACAGGTTTGTCGACAACTTTTGATGTTGCTAACAAGATAACAATTGCTAAATAATTAATTCGTACTTGACAACTTTATTTGGTATTCGAAATTTTTTTACGTGAGTTTTTGAATGAAATTTAATAATTAGCAAAAATGCCCCATGAAAATATTATTAACAACTTATAAGCATGCAATTTCAAACTAAGGTTAAACATTTATATTGTTGAACTGTACACAATTATCATTTTAAGTTATTGGAATTTTACTTTTATTAAATGAGACAAAACTCAAAATGATATGGGATAGATTTTAAGTTTTATTTGTCTCACTGAGTAGTTGGATTCCCATCCAGTTTTTTTTTAATAATCTGATTTCTCATCAACCGGACAATTTTTTAATTAACTCCTAAAAAAGACGGCTATGATTGTAAATTATGCCAATTTGCAAGCTATATAGAATAACACGACCTGAGGATATTTTTAAAGCATTTTACTGACAGCTGGAGGCTTCTAAAGATGATTATGTTAAAAACTTACTCATCTCATGTATAAACACTTGCTACATTAACCCAATTTTTTAAATTATCAGCACCACCTGGTGGCAGAAATTCACAGAAAGGCGTAACAATTACTCTAATCATTCCTTTAGAGAATAGCAAACTTTTTCTGAATTCATATTTAAAAAGGTATAATTTTCAAAATATTTTTAGAAAACTAGTAAGGAATAGCTCAGGAGAATGTTTTGAAAAAAATAAATATTACCAGTAACCTGGCATAGCAAGCTTTACGCTAAGTAACAATGGTTAGGGGGAAGAGGACACCAACTAAATATGGAGAAGAACTATTAAGCATTAGATAATGAAAGGCACTTATTATCAGTTTTGAACAGGACTCAACATGCTATTTAAACACCATATGTGAACTAAGAAAGCTTACCAAGAATCTATATAAACATGAAGGAGAACTATGAGACAGATGATAATGGGGGCACTCATTATCAGATTTAAATAGGAATCAATTAATAGTGAAGGCTATGTATGAAATAAAAAAAGAGACCTCTTTTGATGAAAATTGATAATTGTGAAGATGCGGTAGAAAATCATTAAAACCTCTAGCACTGTCTGATATGGTCTGATATACTCTAGAACCGGGTCTGCACGCCTTTCTCGCTCTATCGCCAATCAGGCGTTGATTACAAATTACTTTACAGCCGTAACTAACTTCCGTAATCTAAGAAAACCTTAAATTTTAGACCTAAGCTCTTGACAATAAATTTCGCCTTCTAGAAAGGTTCTAATAAATTTCTTTACTTTGATGCTAATCAAAAATCAGAACACGATTGTTCCACTTTTAAAAACAGAATGAACGTTTCTAGAGGCTATTTATTAGAACACCTTTGGTCGCTTATCTTGGGACATGTCGGGCGTCGACGTTCATGAGCGTGCTAAAAATTTGAGATTACTCCGTCTTTTTTTTTTAATTTTGTCCTGTGATAAATTTAAGGATGAATAGAGGATGAATAAAGAATGAAAAGAGAATGAATAGAGGATGAATAGAATATAAATAGGGGATGAATATATTATAAATAGAGGATGAATAGAGGATGAATAAAGGATGAATAGAGAACGAATAATGGATGAATAGAGAACGAATAAAGGATGAATAGAGAATAAATAGAGGATAAATAAAGGATTAATAGAGAATTAATAGAGGATTAACAGAGGATGCATAAAGGATAAATAGAGGAGGAATAGAAGATAAATAGAGGATAAATAGAGGATAAATAGAGGATAAATAGAGGATAAATAGAGGATGAATAGGGGATGAATAGAAGATGAATAAGGGATAAATACAAGATGAATAGAGAATAAATAGGGAATGAATATAAGATATATAGAATAATAATAGAATAAATAGGGGATGAGTAGAGGATGCATGGAGAAAAAATTAAGTATAAATGAAGAAAGAATAAAGGATGGATGGATAATAAATAGAGGATAAATAGAAGATGAATGACAATGGGTAGTAGATAAATAGAGGATGAATAAAGGATGATTAGGGGATTAATAAACGATGAATAGAGAAAGACGAATAAAGGATGAATAGAGGATGAATAGAAGATGTTTAAAGGATGAATAGAGGCTTAATAGAGAATGAATAGAAGATTAATAAAGGATAAATAGGGGATGGGTAGAGGATGCATGGAGAAAAAGTATAAGTGACGGAAAAACAAAGGATAGATGGATAATAGAGGATAAATAAAGGATAAATGACAATAGCTATATTTTTTTCATTACTCAGTATATTTTTTTCTAATTTTGACAAATGTTTTTGATGTTATCAGATACAATTAACAGCAAAAATCTAGTTAATTAATTTTTTTCGGTAGCATAGGGACACCTTCTGTATGCTATGCGTTATTTTTTATAGTAATTACCTCTGATACACAATTTCCTTCATAAAAATAGTGCATTTTCCCAAAGCCATTGGCGTTAATTTTTTTTATGTTTTTCACCTTTCGGACTCCCCATGCTATCACCCTTATTCATTTGTGGCAGTCGCACTGTAGCCTACAGATAAATTTCCAGTATTTGAAGATCTTACTTTCCCATTCGCTTCGCTCAGTCACTCATTCACCGCCATTTATTCCACCTCGTCGTAGAAATATAAATCGTCCTACTTTTAGAATTGTTGGTTTAAGAAATAATAAAAACTTCCTTTCCTTTAAACTAATGAAAAAAAATTCCTTTGTATAACACCAAAAACTCGCATAGTCGCTTAATACCACAAATTCAATTTATCTAGTAGGATAAATCTGCATCGTATACCCAAGTAAGTATGAAATAAACCGTAATGCAGAGTTCATTTAAATATCTTGGGGTTGCGGGAGGTCGAGTTAGGGGATATTGCCCGTCGCGTCTCCAACCCGAAGCAACCTCGGGTCGTGACTGCACCTATACCGACCCTTGACCGCGCCATGTACGTGCACCCTAATACAGATTACGTGTTTCTCATCAATTTAGTACGCCACAGATTAAGTGGCCTATTTACGGCAATGCAGAGGTTAACAATCGGTCTGGCTGGTGAAGAACGATCGGCCATCGTCTGCGGCGCGACACGGTGTCATGCACCGTCGCCGCGATCGCGACGGCGACGCCTACCAGCGGCGTATCGAAAAATACTTTCCGGAATAACATTTGAATGTGGTAGGTAATACAAGCGAAAATTTGAATTGTTTTATAAAAATGTTACAACAGTTGTCCAAATTAAATTAATTTTTAAATATAAGTGTCGGTTCCATAGATATATAAACAACACAGGAATATTTAAGCTTCATTGGCAGAAATACAATATTCTGATTGTACATTTCTGCCAAGTTAACGGTGTTTTTAATAGTAGTGATGTAATTACGTTATTACTTTGTCCAAAAAATGTAACTTCTGACAGCGCAATAAGAAATAACGATATGATCAATGCCATAGGCGTACGAAAAAAAATATAAATACGATAAACTTACCAATAATTATTTGTAGATATATAAAAAATGATTTACTTTTAAAATGTTAGATTTAACAGTAAATGTAAATAAGCTGGCGTCCAAATCAGAAAAAATGTTTTCAATCATTTTTTGAAATATTATTGAAAATATATGTGGATTTCATTTTTCTTTACGAAAAGTTAATTTGATCGAAAACTTGTAGTTTTTTTTGTCGGTTTGGTGTGGACCCGGCTTAAACATTAATATTAAATGTTTTGTTTGAAATGTTTTTGACGACTTTTAGGTGCCGAAAAATTAGTGAATCACTTTTTCAATCAACAAATTCCAATGGCTATAGCGACGAGTTCGAGCTCAGAGGCAGTAAAATGCAAGATGTCTAAAAAGAAAGATTTTTTCGATAAATTTCATCACTTCGTTTGCGGAAATGACGATCCAGAAGTTCTTCGAGGAAAACCTTTTCCTAACATATATTTCGTAGCTGCCAGAAGGTTAGATATGGACATCCACAAAAATGTTTCTATAGTAGGTCTTGGAAAAATTCAGGAGTACAATTTTTCTTGTTCTTAAAAGTCAGTTTGGATTTAATTCAGAGGCGTAATTAGTTATTACATACATGACTCCTCTATATGTCTTGTCGGTTATGACCTACTTTACAAACATGTTTTGATAGACTAGAAAGAGTCAAAAATAGTACTCTTTCTTTCCTTTGGTTCAACTTTTTTTTTTGATAAATAATATACCTCACCTCAAAAATCTTTTTTGCCAGTATTTTTTTCTTTGTGTACATGTAAAGCGTTTTTCGGCCTCGTTTTTTAAATAATCTTTGTAGTAAAATGCAATTAGAATCTTATAAAACAAAAATTAATCAAATTGCTACTGTTAATATTTTTAATATAATAATTTTACGAAGACTATTCCATTAGTTACTTTCATGATGATATTCCGACATCATAAATATCCAATATAACAATCGGAATATTATTCGATGTCATAATCGGGAATGTATACACAAAGAATTTGATTAACAATCATAATATAACCTAATGTCACAATCAGAAATAAATCAATGGCCTTAACTTATAAATATCCGATATCATAATTGGTATATTGACTGATACTATAATCAAAAATGTATGAATAAATAATCTGATATTTATATACAAATATATTATTGTATATTACTTATCTCACGACCTAAACTTTTAAGTTGAAATACACCTTATAAACTGTTGGATGCACACTAAAAAATAAATATTCTTACTATAGAATAATACAGGAACCAATGACGAAGAGGGATATTTTACTTTTTTAGACTGGATGCATGAACGTTTGGTTACTATAACGAATATTTGTGAGACAAGGCTAAAATATAATTATTCTTGACAACCAGGTCTTCATATCTAGTTACACAACTCATAGGATTAAAAACGACAAAAATCGAAAATCTCTTTGATCTCTTTATAGATTCGAAGAAAGACCTCGTCGAAAACAATGCCTCGTGTTCGAGGACGCCTTCAATGGCGTCGTATCAGCACTGGGAGCAGGCATGCAAGTTATAATGGTACCCACTCCAGTGACGCCGTACGAGAAATGGAGATACGCGACATTGCGGCTCGACAGCCTGGATGGATTTATTCCAGAATTGTTTGGAATACCGGCATTCGACGCGCCTAAGCCGCCGAAAAAAGTGGTGATAGTAAAGGGTCCGTGCAAACCCGTTATAGATCCATGTGAGGGCTTTGACGAGAATGCAGTTGAAGAGAATAAAGTCGAAGAGAAGGAAGATCCATGTAAGGAGTTTGAAATGCAGAACGCTCCACGTAAAGAAACTGATGTAAAAGTAACCAACTATTAGTAATTAAGTCTACCGGTGAATTAGATACATGTATTTCATAGCAACTTTTCGAAAATAAAGAAATAATTAGCAGATTATTTATTTTATTCCTCAAATTTTGTTTTGAATTTTGATGATAAAAAAAAATGTTTACAAGCTCAAAAAACTAAAAAAAAAATAACATAATTGCACTAAACTACAAAACATTGCCTTGTTGTTGTCTTATAACTTGTGTTCCATATATTCGTATAATCATCAGTTCGCCCTATATATCCGATACATATCGATTTCCATGTTGACCTGCGGAAATCAGGAAGGACATGAAGGACGAAACAGGAAGAGGGATGAAGGACGAGAACGTTGTTATGCTCGAGGTAACTTAATCTAAGATCGCTGCAATTAATCAAAGAGTTTTTTTTTAATATGCGGAAATGACGATGCTAATCCTGATCGAGATCTCAGAATCCCATGCCGGATGAGTTTTTGTGCTGTAGCTAATTTTAGGATTCTACTTTCAGTCAGAATCGGCATGCGGGTGGGCGGAAAACGGCTTTCAGAATTGGTGATTCGTTCGCTTCTCTGGGTCATTCGAGTGTTAAATAAGGTCAGAAATAGTCCAATAAAAACGTGCAGATATATAAAGGGGCATCAACTGACCTAAGCGATTTATAGAAACTGAACTTACGTATAAACACGTTGAATGCCAGTATGAAATGATGCAGACATCACCTTGTAACATGAATCTAATTGTCTTAATGATAATTTGGTATTTACCACAGTTAACTTAAGTTTCGGGGGGTGGGTGGCTCAGTGGTTAGAGCCTCTGCCTGTGGATCCAAGGGTCCCAGGTTCGAATCCCACCGTTGGCCGGAATTTTTTCATTTAATTTAATTATTTAAAATTAATTCTGATGCCTTGGTAGGATTCCCCACTCGACCATTCACTGTTGGGTTCTAATTAACAGTGCTGTTCCTAAAGTGGCGCTGGGAAACAGTAACAAAGCCTACACAGAACACACATGATTGAGAATTTAAACACAAATTTGAGACTGGCATATTAGGTATATACACCTAGGCCATAAATCGAAAAAAAAAAAAAAAAAAAAAAACTTAAGTTTCAGGAGAGTGTGGTCCGATAAATAAAGGTTCTACATGGGATGCAAGGTTTAATTTAAACGGTGTACATCCCCTATAAATAAAAAAAATCCGGTCCCCTTTTTTTCTACTTGTACGATCCTCGTTTTATTTTGTAACACATGTGGCTTAGAGAATTTCTTGTTTTTAGTTATTTTACGTTTTGGTCACATTTAAGTTTGGAATTATTTTCCTTTTGTAATCAAATATTTGACTATACGTTTCTGATAATAGTGTCACGCTAAACAAATATCACCCTATATATAAAATATACATTTTCTATTTTAATATACATTCGTTAAGTTAAATAATTTAGCATAATATTTGATATAATATTTTGATAAACATTAGTTGCAATTCATAAGTACGTCCTTAATAAAAGTAAATATAACATTAAACTAGACACGTACTGACCTTAATCGATTAATATAAAAATCGGCTAAGTCAACAATAATGGGACTCTTGGTCGGAGTCTCATCCGAGACTCTTGGCCGGAGTCTCCTCCAAGACTCTTAGTTTGAGTCTCATCATTGTCTCTCATCCCAGCGAAGAAGTAACGTGACGTGCCCTCGTCGCCATTTAGATGTTTAGCCCATGGTAAGGCCCATATTGTATTATTAATATTATCTGTTATACATTTTTGAATATTAATTATTTATTGATTAATAAAATTGTTATATTTCAACTCGACTTTTATTTCATAAAGAAAGGTAGCACGAATTAATAACATTGAATAATTCTTTCGACCCATAGAAAAGGGGGTCGTGACAATAGTTTAAATTTACTAAAGGATATGCCCATAATCTTTGAATCATTGATTCTTAATGTACACTCAAGTGCATGTTATATTACCGAATTTATTAAATTTATACTTTTTATTTGAAATAAAATACTTTCAAGATCTAAGCAATCGATATTCCCATGTAATAATAATATACATACAAAATAATAATTTTTAATATGAAAGTTCTGTTTAAATCACGTAATTCCAGATTTATTTGCTATAAAATATATTACGGCCTTGGATTGTTATATTCATTTCATATGAAATGGTATTTTAGACCTAATTTTGAATAAAGTTTCAAACAAGACTATGATGTTTTCTATTTTTACAAATCTCTTAAAATCCATAAAAACTAATTGTTTGGGAATTTTTCGTAACTGGTAGTGTTCCAAATGTAAAGAAAAACGAGGCAGCCCACTTGAAAAATACACTTCAATATTACACACTCAAATGCCGATAGATCTCATATTTTTATGTCTATAAATCCCTTTAACAGATGTGGAATAGGTCAAAAAAACATAAGAATTCAATTAAACACTACAATTTCCCAAAAATATAAACCCGTTCTTCCACAATTAATCCTGGAGTTAAATCTAAGAACTCCTTTAATAGTATAATTCCATGGGTATAGAAAATATAGATTTCATTCCTTGACAAAACTTGGAGTTGGCTGCTTTTTTCACCTGTCAACCAGCACCTCACCAACAAAAATGGCACGCTATCTTTGAAAAATGACAAGCCGAGTGGTTTTAGAAATTCATTCTTAAGAATTTACCAGCATATATCTTAGAGACTATTTACGAAAGATTACTCTACAAACTATATCTATATACAATATTCCTACATTTGGAAATTGCTACTTACAAAAATCGATACAAAACCGATCGCGAAAAATCTCCTAAGTGTACATACCTACAGTTAAACGAACACATTTCGTACAGTAAGTCGCTAACTGTGAAGTTTCTATTACCTGGGAGTCGGAACCAGACTGAACGACATACAACACCTGACACTGTCAACTATCGGGTCCCGTCCACTTGACATTTAATATCAAATATAACTAACCTAACAAAATATTGTGGCAATAACATTGACTAAAAATAATTACTTTGAAGAACAAGTAAACAAATTCGATGTAAATGGCATCGTTAATAATTAATTACCTAGAGGTAAAATTATAATACATAATATATAAGTAAACTACAACGAGACTCTATTTTTAGATGAATCTAACACATTAAAACAAATCAGTTGGGTAATAATATAATAAAATGTACAATTTTGGGTACTAAGAAAAAAATACTATATTCCTGTCCAGTGATGAGATGATTTAAATTATAATAATGATATCTACAGGTTAACAATACAAACAACTAGTTTATGACAAAAATAATGGCTTTAAAAACCTTTCAACAATAAATAATGTTTTCCTTAGTTATTTGAGCTGCTAAAAATGCACGTTACAGTTCTATTGTGTAATTTAATCCTTATTATTTTCGAATTGTGTTTATATGTGTCAGTCCTATCCTGTACACTTCAATACGCAATCAATGCGCTGGCGCATGAGTCTCTTCTTTATAAAAGATGACCGCCTTCAAATCTACTTGCCTAATAAAAATTACATTTCCTATCTTCTTTAATTCATATCTGTGGTTCCAACTCCTGCTTCTCCCTACTTCCTGCCTTCTGCTATATCTCCTGCTCTACTTTGCATCCTTCACTGAATACTGTCTTCGATACTCCTCTTCATGTTCAACTTATTTGTATCTTTAAAATCTTTTAATCCTTTGGATATTTTCATTTTGTTTCTTATTTGACAATTTTAACTTTAACATTCCCCATTTTTTAAACATTCTGACAATTCATACTTTAAACTCCATACTGCATTTTAATCAGCGAGTCTCTACAACCCTTTGTGAGTCAATAGAAATCTATTTGACAATAATTCTAAAAAAACATTCTGAATCTAATTAAATTTTAACACCTTTTCCTATATGTTGGATCAGGCAATTATATAAACAGTTCTATCTGTACTCTTTCTCTATCTATGATATCACTTAACTATGAGACAAGCAAACGTTCACTTTAAAGGAAGTGTCACTGTCTTCAAAAAAGTTCTTTGGCTTACTTAACATCAAAACTCTCTCATAGTCGGTGACAGACAGTTTTTCGCACTTAATAATTTAATATTCCTGCTAGCATCCTCTTTCAATTTAAATTTTTCATGCCTTCTTAAATCACAATCTATCTTAATTTTGGCTTGACTTCCCCCTATCCAAATGCGACCGATGGTGATGCTGGAATGATGTCCTGATAAAGGTTGACAGTGTTTAATTGACACTCGGAGGGACAGACTATGTAAACGGGGTCATTAATATTGTACATGTTTTAACTGTAACTCGTCACATCAATATTTTGTTCAGATATATATGTTGGACGATGAAGTTTTCATTTGTAAACAGTTGCGAGATGAGTTTATGGTTTTATATAGAATTATTATATTATGTTTTTGATTTTAGTCTTTCCTTTTCCTCTTTTTTATTTGGTTTTATTTATAAATATTTTACGTACTATAACATCTACTAAAAAATGTATTGTACTTGTAATATGTCTATCACTAATTTAAGAAATTATTTTGTTCTAGATTTTAAAATATTACTAAATTATCTGTGGTAATTAATAAGTTTTTGACAATAATTTCCCCTTATTTTTAAGGGCATTCATTAGGGCTTACCACTGAGATCATGGTACTTTTTCTTGGCTTTACCATTTCTTTTTGTTACTCTTTTTTAAACCTGATTGAGATTAAAAAGCTGTTCATCATTATCGGCATACAAATCTGCGTATTTTTTTAATCATGTATGACCTACCATCTATTTTAATTCTGACAGGACGCTCTAAAAAAAACGTTGAAATAATGGTAATAACGAGTTTCTCCAAATATAAACAGTAATCCTCGTATCAAGTTCTAAGTTTACGACAATGATTTTAACATATTGACAACGTTTTTTTTTTCTTTATTCCGCACTTGAGGAAATTCTAACCTTTTTACTCTCCCCTTTAAGCTTTCTCAAAGAAGCCTTTAATTGACTCCAAATCGAAATTCCTTGTGTCGAACCAATTAGAACCGTAAAGTGGAACTAAACATGATACTCTCTAAGGATAATGTCGTGCGAAAT